ATTTTTCCACATTTCGTAAGGAGTCTCATCTTTCCCTTTAGGTGGTATTTTATTCAGGATATGATTTGCTGTCAAAACAGCTTCCCCCCACATGTTTTGTGGTAATCCTGATTAATCAACATGGCATTCATTATTTCTTTTAAAGTTCGGTTTTTGCGTTCAGCAACACCGTTCGGCTGTGGAGAATAAGGGGCCGTCGTTTGATGAATTATGTCATATTCAGAACATATTTGTTCAAAAGGAGCTACATACTCTCCACCCCTATCACTTTGGATTATTTTAATCCTTTTGCCGAGTTGATTTTCAACTTCGGTCTTATAGACTTTAAAAGCTTCCACAGCCTCGTCTTTGCTTCGTAACAAATATAAGTAGCAAAATCTTGTGCAATCATCGATTAAAGTAATTAAATACTTTTTACCCATTCTTGTTTGCACATTTTTCATATCACATACATCAGTATGGATCAAGCCTAATGGTTCAGTACTCCTTTCTACCGAGTGAAAAGGTAACTTAGCCATTTTTGCTTCAATACAAATTTCACATTTCTTATGTGATTCGATTTTAGAATTAGGAATTAATTCCAAATTCATCAACCGTTTAATTGCATTTAGATTTACATGTCCCAATCTAATATGCCATAAGTTAGAGCATTCGACGGTATAAACAGAAATTGGCTTTTCATTATCATTAGAAACGGTTACACGGCTCACGGTCATTACATTCATTTTGAACAAACCCTTGTCGAGATAACCACGGCCAAGGAATATTCCATTTTTGCTAAAAATAAACTTCTTAGCTTCAATCACTAGCCTAAATCCATGCTCAACAAGAAGTGATCCGGAGACCAAATTCTTGCGGATGTCTGGGACATGCAGAATATCCTTCAGCTTCAACTCCCTTCCAGAAGTGAGATTCAGCACCACCGTGCGCACTCCAGCCACATCAGACGTGGAGGAGTTTCCCATCTGAAGTTTCCGACCCGTAGCAGGAGTGTATTCAGAGAGCACCTCCTTGTCGGAACACACATGACGAGTGGTACCAGTATCGATGTACCACTCCCTCGGGTTATCCACCAAATTGGCTTCAAACACTACAACCGACATATCAAAGTCGGTCAGTTCACCCGGCACAGGGCCTTGTTCAGCAACAAGGGTACTCGGTTGCCCTTTCTTTGGCCCAGCTTTCTTTGGCCTCTTGCAATCTTTTGACATATGGTTTGGTTTTCCACAATTGTAACAAGTTCCGGTAAACTTCCAAACCTTGGCAGGCTGCTTTCCCTTGTTCTGGGTCTTCCTCTTGCTCGAGTTGCCTTGCTCCAGCAAGTTGGCACGAGCTTCCATCATCGGGACTTTTCCTGATAACTTCTGGTTGTCCTCCTCGATACGAAGACGAACTATCAGATCTTCAAGACTCATCTCTTTTCTCTTGTGCTTGAGATAGTTCTTGAAGTGCTTCCAGCCTGGCGGCAGCTTCTCGATCACAGACGCTACTTGGAATGACTCGCTCAAAGTCATCCCTTCAGAATGGATATCGTGCAAGATCAGCTGGAACTCTTGCACTTGTGACACGACAGTCTTCGTGTCAACCATCTTGAAGTTAAGAAATTTACCGACGACGAATTTCTTCGCCCCAGCATCCTCCGTCTTGTACTTCTTCTCCAAGGCAGCCTAAAGTTCCTTGGCAGAACCAACAGAGCTGTACACATTGTACAACTCGTTATTAAGCCCGTTCAGGACATAGTTACGGCAAAGGTAGTCACCTTGCCCCCAAGCATCGTACGCAACGCGTAGTTCTGCATTGGTCTCATTCTCAGAAATGACCTGAGGGTCGTCTTTCAGGTATTTCACCAAACCCAAAGTGGTCTGGTAAAAATGCATCTTCTGTTGCCATCTCTTAAAGTCAAACCCGTTGAATTTTTCAGGCTTTTCAGCTGTAGGAACATGGACAGCAGGTACATGATTGATCGGATGCTGAGAGCTGGAACCTGGTCTGGTGGATGCCATCAGTTCAGTAGGATGACTGATATTCTTCTTGCGATTGTTGGATTTTTGGTGTAAAATACACGGGAATCCTACGAACTGATATGTAATTTCAGTTCTTACAAATAATCTAAAAATAGAAAATTACAAATGAACTGAAAAATAAATTACAACTGAAAAAGGAAAGATTTTAGCCAAGGCGAGTAAAACTCTTTCCGCAAGAAGAATACGCCCCGTGTGGCATCTAACAGTTCAGGCGTAACTTCCCCAAAGATACAACGGCAAACGTCTCTAAATCTGTAGCACACCAGATTTACGAGCTCCGGCGAACTAGAACGGAGTCGAGAATTGAGCACTTAAAAATTAAAGGAATATCTTAAAACAAATAAAAATATCACTTGTTCCTTCTCTTTTAATATTTTTATATCCGATATTTGGACATAAATCTATCTTTTTTTTTCGTTTCTCTTTCTCTTTCTTCTCTCTTTCTTTCAAATTTTTGGTGTACCCTTTCCTTCTGAAGGGATGCCTATTTATAGGAGAGCTCACGGAACAAGATGCCATCAGCATTGCCAACTGACAGTAGCTGTCACTCCATAATTGCATCAGACACATGTTACCTTAATTGATAAGCACGTGCAGCTCAATTATTCCAACATGCAAGTGCATTATTGGACACTTAAAAGATGGCAATGAGTTTATAATAATTCATGTGGGACCAACTACTTAATTACACTCAAATTCTAACAAGAAGAAAATTAAATTCCCTGATGAAGCTTCTGAAGTCTTCTAGCCGACCTTTTCAAACCAGTATGTGATATATGGGGATTGTGAAGCAAGCATTGAATATCTGTTCTTTGCTTGTACAACAACAAAAATAACAACATACCCAGTATATTCCCAACTGGTTGGGGTCGGGGGGTCAGTTGTACGCAGACCTTACCCTTGTAATTATACAAGGAGGCTGTTTTCGTAGGGACCCAAGACTGTTCTTTGCTTGTAACAAGGCAAAAATAATTTGGGAAAAAAAGAGTTTTAGGTTGAAGTGGAATACAGTGAGATTTGTCGTAGCCCGCTCGTACGATCGGCGCTTTAAGACTCGAGTTTGAACTTGTTTAAAGCTCGTTTCACTGTTTGATAAAGCTATGAAAGAGAAATTTTTATATAATGTTATATAGTTCAACGAGGTAATATTGATAAATAGGTCAAGCTCTAATTTTAGTTACGAGTCGAGCTGAGCTCACACCTAAATTTGCACATAACTCGTAGCGGCTAGTGCGCTAGTTGCCTGATAAGCTGAAGAATATAAAACTCTAAGAAAGTAAATAGGAAATATACATGGAAATTAGAAAAAGATAGAATCACAGTAATTTAAGAATGAGCATAGAAAATAATTTACAAAATAAGGTTAATGAGATAATAGAGACTGAAAATGAGAATTTGCAAAGAAAAAAATGGAAAATAAATAACGAGAATTGGAGGAAAGTGCATTGAAAATTATAAAAAAATTGATATGCTGGCTATGGGGTTCGAACCCATGCGCACTTATGTGCAGAAGATCTTAAGTCTTCCCCCTTAACCTCTCGGGCAAACCAGCTGAGTTGCAAGTTCCTTAACAAACTTTAATTACTTTGCACCAAATTAAGGTTGTTTCATTTTGGAAGAAACGAAAAGGAGGGAAATAACGAAGCACTTGGCGTACGTATTTTGGGCAGACAAATCCCAGAGGCAGCAACATGTACTAGTTAGTGCCCACTGCCCAGATATGATCCAATCTCGTTCGATTTTTTTACTTTGTGTCGCTAGTTTCATGCATCTAATTTAAGCGAGTAGTTGCTCAAAATTGACGTTTGCAGTTCGTTCCATAGGAAAAGAGTAACCTCAAAACGGAGATTTTTGTAATTCAGCTACACACACAAAGATGTAGAGTAACGGACCTAATGGTCTAGTTCTGGGACACAATCATAAGTTACCGGTTTCCCTCAGTGTAATTTTTGAAATGCATTCGTAAATGCTTTCTCTATATGGTTCCTGTGTTTCAATATTCGAACAACACCTTGGATAGTAGTTACACGGACGATAAACTACACCTTGGATAGTAGTTACACTTGCCAGCAGTCAAATCAATTGAAAATAACAACAATCTAACAATCATAGTGATAATCGAAATGTAAAATCAATACAGCACACAGTACGTAAAGAGACGAATGTAAAAGCATAATATTCATATAATAATCCAGAATTCATCATCCCATAGGAAAACATGACACTACATTGTTCACAATCTACACGAAACAAGTTCTCTTTTCATTAACCGAAACCACAAAACAACCTTCCAGAATGTCCAAAAAGACAAATTCCAAATTACTTTCCACCAGCATGCTTGGCTTTTGTGTGGGATTCAAGGCCTTGCTCAGAACCAAACGTCCTGCAGGCAAAACCAACAGCAGCCAGTTAATACAGTTTCATTCCATCATAATTTGTAATGATAGTTGCAATACCCGGATATCTTTTGAACTTAAAAGTCAACATACCCAGATATCTTTAGAAGGATTTTTTCAGAAACAGGCTTTGTATATAATTATTCGTAACTAATAATCACAAGGTGTACCTGTTGCAGCTCTTGCAAGAATGTGAACCACCGTGTTTTGGTGTTTGCTGATTTGGCTTGTTAGCAGGTGTCTTCCCAGCCTGTTTTGCTGGGTGAGGTGTGTCTACATGAAAACCAGGCTTTTTGCCGCCTATAAAGACAATGAAAATATTTTACATACATTAAAACAGTGGCCTAAAGAACACATGAAGCTACACTAGTTATAGTCAAACTTAAACGAGAGAATTACCTATTCCCAGCGGGGTTGCTTTTGCTTTTTTGCTTTGCACTGGCGTTTTGGTAGCAGATTCTGAAGCTCGCTTCTTGTTAGGCTCGTCCTTCAGGGGAAATCATTTAAGTTAAATTCCCACATCATCAATCATAATAAAAAATAATAATAATAATAATAATTAAAGACACTTTGAGACAGCTAATCGTGTACATATTACCTTTTTTGGTGTCTCTTCATCACTCTCATCAGATTCATCTCCATCCTACAGTTCAAAATTTAATGATTAGCCATACCTTAAAATGAAAGCATGAGATATTTACGGCACCTACCTTTTTTTGAGTTTAGAATTCAAGTGACAATCGCACAAACAAACAAACAACACCTCATATTTAAACACAGACCCTAAGCAAACACGATTGTAAGTTGACATTCATTATCATTTGTATTCAAAATTTTAACTCAATAACTCGTACACAAATTCAAAGAATTTGAGCCTACAATTCTTGTGGCTGATGAACCGAACAGTTTGCAATTAAAGAGATAGTACCAAGCTTGCATGTTTTCAAGGGGTCCATAAAACAGTGATTAATTAGAAGTTTTTTGTGAATAAAAACAATTATGTTCACTTAAAACAACCACATAAACCATAACAAGACTTAAAATGAGTAAAAATAAACCTGAGAGTCTGAGTCGTCTTCATCGTCATCATCATCAGACATCAAGTCTTCATCAGTGCTTTCCTCATCCTCTTCAGCATCTGTATCTTTCTTTGGCTCCACAATCTTCACCTTTTGCTTACCACCATCAGACTCTTTACCATTGCCGGCATTAGCATTAGAAGCCTCCGCAGGTTTTTCTTGCATAGGCTTCGACACAGGTTTGTCTGCAAATAAGACACCATGTTAAAAATCTACGAGAACCGTTAAAGCATCTGAATAAAGCCAGATGTGGTACCATTATTAGCAACTGGAAGTGGGTTATCCTCTTCTTCCTCAGAGTCAAATTCGTCTGGACACGTAATACAAACATGTTATAAAGTTGATAAGAAGATATAAGGTAACATGGAATCATATAACATCAACAAAGGAAGGAAGATGACCATTGAAGAATGGTTACCTGATTCTCCTTCTGTCCCAGTGCGAATCAACAATGGCACCGAGTAAAGGAATACAATTCAAATGAGAATCTATATAATACAACAAACAAGAACAATAGATAAATTAAAAAGCGGATAATATATCTAAAGGATATTCTTCATATGGGTTACTGGCCTTGTACCCATAGAAATACACACTTGCACTTTTAAAGTTGTGCGACAGCTCAAAATCTCTATCAAACACTATGTCAAATTGTTGCTGAGGCAACTTCTCAGCAAAGAGTGTTCCAAGAACAAGCCTCTTTCCATCGACAGTCACAAACAAGCAGACAGCTTCATTTCCTTTTTCCTTTTTAACCTCACCAATGCAAGCCTGTTGAAAACAGGACATTATAATACAGAAAATTATTATGAAAGGAAGTGACAACATTTGTTCATAAGAATTGTTTGGGACCTGAGAAAGATGCACGATCATCCCATCACCAGGCGAAACTTTAAGGGGCTCTCCACTTTTCACCTCAACACCTGTCGAACACAATAATACGAGCGAACTTTTATCAATATTTTCGAAACATTTCGCAACTATGCAACACCCCACTCAATAGAAACACGGAACTTGTATACAGAATATATAATGGGGACTGCAGAACAGAAAACCCCACAAACCATTTGTGCACGAGTATATACATCATGAAGAACACATCACTCAAGGCATTCATAGCAGCACTGGCAAAACCAAACATCATTTACTTTGCACATGTGAATAAGAACATAGCAAGACTACAAAACACTTCTTCACTGCACAGTCACTACAACAACAACAACAACAACAACATAGCCTTTTTGTCCCAAGCAAGTTGGGGTATGGTAGAGATGAAACCCAACACAGTCACTAATAAACATATTTAGAATGACTCAAATCAATAATCCTGCAAAATGATCAAAAATCAACTAAAATATTGACAAAACAGACATCATTAAGTACACGGTTCATTCACTGTCATCCACAAGGGCATAAAACAAGCATCTCCAAACACATTCATGTCCAAATATCATGAAAATCTAAGAAGGGCAGCAACTACAGCAAGTTCATAGTCAAAGATAAAAGAAAATCCTTTATGGTTTTTCATATTAAATTACGAATAAAAAAAGAAAAAAAAAAGTAACAGACATTGCCAACAACAACATATAAAAAGAAACAGATAAATGAGGGAGACGCTCACCCCAGAACTCCATTGCTAAGAATTTGATATGCTCGGAGATTGAAGGTGTGTGTGTGTGTGTGTGTGTGTGTGTGTGTGTGTGTGCGTGTTACTAGGGTTTTTGCAAGGAGGTGAGGAAAAAAAACAGAGATGAGAACAAATGAAATTTTAAATTAGGGTTTCGAATTTATAACGGCATAGGGAAAATTTTCAGGTTTGGGGTTTCGATTCAGTGCGGCGCGGACTAGTGTAAAGCAAAAAATTATTTGGGGTACATTCTGGAAACTAGTCTGTAACCCGTGCGATGCACGGGCTAATACATATTTTGGAAAATTTTAAAAAATTAAAAGGTCATTAATTAATAAGTTATTATAATATGTATGACATTCTAAAAGTAAACATAAAATCGTCATTGGTAAAAACTTATACATTATTAAAAACCTCGTTATACACAACGTTATTAGTTTGATTACTGGGTAACTTATCGTCCCCACAAACTAATATTTTCAACCCCTTCCTATTAGTAACACGTGAAACAGTGACGTATAACTGGCCATGACTAAAAACAAGTATTTTCAAGAACAGTCCAACATGTGATAAAGACTGACCCTGACTCTTGTTTATGGTCATGGCATAAGAAACCATAAGGGGAAATTGCCTCCGTTGGAACTTAAACGGAACCCTAACATCAGAAGGAGTTATGTTCATCCGAGGAATCAACACCTTCTCACCTGCGTGATCTCCAGTCAATATCCTACATTCAAGAACATGCGGAGAGAGCTTCGTAACAACCAAACGTGTGCCATTACACAAACTCATAGAATGGTCCATGTTTCGCAACAACATGACCAGAGTTCCTATCTTCAAATGCAACTCATGATTGGGCGTTCCCGAACACTTAATGCTATTCAAGAACTCGGGTGTGTGGAGATCAGCCAAAAAGCCATTGCCAGAATCCGACTTAGACGTACTATCGGAGCTTAAATATGTACGACCTTCAGCAGAATTCATATCCGACATGTATTGATTGATAGACTCAACGAATTTATGTACGGAAATCCAAAACGAATCTATCTATAATTTGTTATTTATTTAATTATTATAATATAATGTATTTTAAAAATTTACCTTTTCTGTTAGTAGGAACAACAACGTATTATATATTGTGATTTAAATCACTATTAATTTTCTTTTAGATATTTATATATTTATATTTATATATACAAAAAAAAGGTGATTAAAAAGTGTTCAAGCATGCAATGATTTAATAGAATAAAATTATAAAATAAAATAAATTCAGTAATATGAAATTATAAATTATTAGTATTTGAAAGCACACAAATAAAAAATTGAACAGCAAAACAGATATACGAAAATAAATCATGTAGAACAAATAAAACAAACAAAAAAATAAAAGAACTGTATGTAAGTACAAAATCGAAGGAGAAGTCTACTAATTAAATTTTATTCACGATAAAATGTAGTACATATCCATTTCACAATAAATATGACCAAATCATCAAATTTATATTTAATAAAAACCTAAGAAAATCAGGCGACAACCATATCTCGATCATTGCTAGTATTGAGGAAAATTCCCATTGTATTTGATAAAATTTGTCCTTCCATGAAGGACAATCTTCCAACAATGAGTTATTATATTATTCCTCCCACTCTTATATTCAACATCGTAGTTGCGAATAAAATACACATCGCCTTGTTTAAGGCGATCTTGAAATATGCTCATATGTTGCGAACGTACTATTTCTTTCATGTATGAACCCTACATATTTAAAATAATAAATAATACAAAAAAAAAATGTAAAATCAGTTTCAAAAATAATAAATAATACAAACAATTAAAATAATGTTAAAGATAAAACTATTGAAAATAATTACCCCTTCATCATGAAACATGATATGAATAGCGTTTGGATGCTCCGGATCGTCATGAGTTTCCAGCAGTAGAACTACTCTCAACTTCAAAAACGGTTTGTTGGATCGACTCACGGCGTCTACTGTACATTTGAATGGTGCCATAAAATAATTTTTTTATTTTGTAATTTTTGTTTTCCTACGCATGTTGAGGATTTTTCCATCATCTTTTTTAGATATATATAGATGTGCAATTGCTTTTATTCCATATTTAATGACGTGAAAAAATGATTTTTTAAACCATTCCATACAAAAATAATGTTAATCAGACAGTAATTAATAGTGCTAATGGAACCACAATAATGTTAGTCGCGTGTTGGTTGAGGTGGACCTGGCTGCCCCTTACAAAGAGCATATTATGGAAATCCCAAAAATCAATAGATTTTTTTTTTTTATGAAATTGCTGCCCCATTCCATAGATATTATGGCTGCCCCATTCCAAAAATTAATGGCGTGAAAAAAGCCAATAGATATTATGGCTGCCCCATTCCATGCAATTGCTGTTAATTAATAGCGTGAAAAAAGGATTATTATTCTATTCCATATTTAACCCGGCAGTAATTAATAGTGATTTTATGAAATTATCTTAAATTACTATTTATAGGCAGTAATTAATGTTTTTGGCGGGAATTAGTTTCTAAAAATTAATTAAGTTATTCCTTATTATATATTAATAGATTTGAAATCATTGGTAGAGGCTAGAGTGGGCTTATCAATGTCGTTGCTGGACCTATTTTTCTATTTCCATTGACAACAGATTGGGCTTTGATTTTTAATCCACTATAGTAGCCCAGGTCCATAAATAAGCCATTTTAAGAGAATTCAATATGTTGGTGTCTTTGAATTAATAAATATATAATAAGGATATGAGATTCAAATTTTGGATACAATTTATTCCACTACAATTTATTTATTTTTTATTATTTTTCTTTTAAAGTCATTTCCATTATATACTAAGGCATGAATATATTTTACCAAAACTAAATATTTGTATATTATTTATAATTCTCATCTTTCTCATTTTCTTAATTTAAATATTTTCCTATTTATATATTTTAAATTAATTATCATATGTTTTAAATAAAAATTAAATAACTTTTTTATTCAATACTCATTTTTTAAAAATAACATATCTTTTTTAGTTTTTGTTCAATAGCTTTAATTTGACACCATATCTATAATGAGTGAACAATGAATTTTACTTATCTAAGCTAATAATTATATGTCAATATCAATGTAAAATATAATTAGACCTACTCTTATAAATAAATTATAAGTATAAATTATTAAAAAAACAATAATGTAAAAGAAAAAAGAAAAAAAAAAGAGTTGCCCGTAATTGGAGAGATTTTATGGTCTCGTTACGGAAAAATTTCGTCGAGATTTTTAACCGTTAGATCAACTATCTACAGAAGGTTACATAGTGATGTAACGATTACAAATTCCGACGGAATAGTTCCGTAACGAGACTGTAGCATTTCCGGCCGTAATTGTTGAGGCCACATGTTAGGGTATAAATTACAATTTTGCCTAAATAAAATATTGTTTAATACAAACGCACCCCTCCAAAACTTAAAATATCAATTTGATGTACCAACAAATCGTAATACCAATTTGCCTCGTTATTTCCGAGATTTTGTTTTCTGCTCCGCACAACGCACGGTGTAGCTGCCATTTGATTTGACTGAGATAGCAACAGAATCCAAATTCGGCCATGGATCTCAACGCCCTTCTTCAAGCCTTCACTCTTTCGTGGACTTCGGTCAGTTCGCGCTCTATTTTATCTCTATACTGAATATATATATATAGAAGTTTCTGTATGTATTTCTCCGCCGGTGACGGCCACTTTTCATGCCGACATAGGTCGCCGTACTGCTCGGATTCTTCACTTACTTGGCAATATTTGGGTCCGTGTTGCCCGGAAAAGTTGTTCCGGGAGCGACTTTATCGGACGGCACTAGGCTCCATTACCGGTGTAATGGTGGGAAAATACGACCTCTCTCTCTCTCTCTCTCTCTCTCTCTCTCTCTTTTTTT